TGAGGGAGAACTAAAATAAATGGCAATAAAGATGAGGATGACATCCCTTATCTTCTATGCCATCTTCCAAAAATCAGCTTTTCCCTGCTATATGTTTCATAGAATCATAGAATAACCTGACTTGGAAGGGACCCACAAGGATCATCAAGTACAGCTTCAGGCTCCACAAACAACCACCTGAAAATCAGACCCTATGTCTGAGAGCATTGTCCAAACACTTGTTGAACCCCAGCTGGTTCAGTGCCATGACAACTGCCCTGGGGAGCCTGTTTCAGTGCCCGACCACCTCTGGGAACTTTACTCCCCTCAGTCTCCTCTTGTCCAGGCTGAACAAACCAAGTGACCTCAGACACTCATACATCTTCCCCTCCAGACCCTTCACAATGTTTGTAGCCCTCCTTTGGACACTCTTTAATAGTTTTATGTCCTTTTTATATTGTGGCATGTCAAACTGCACACAGTACTTGAGGTGAGACTGTACCAACACAGAGCAGAACAGGACAATCCCTTCTCTCCACCAGCTAGCCATGCTGTGCCTGATGAACCCCAGGGTACAGCCACCCTTTCTGGCTGCCAGGACACACTGTTAGCTCATATTCATCAGCCAAAACCCCCACATCCCTTTCCATGGGGCTGCTTCCCAGCCTCTCTTCCTTCAGTCTGTACATTATAACTAGGGTTGCCTGTTCCCAGGTGCAGAATCTGGCACTTGCTCTTAATAACCATATTGTTGGTGATTGCCTAGCCCTCTAATTTGTGATCTCTCTGCAAAGTCTCTCTGCCCAAAATGGAGTCAACAGCTCCTCACAGTGTAGTGTCATCTATAAACAGCATACCTCAAAGTCCTGCATCCAAGTCATTTACAAAAAAGAGAATTGGCCCTGAAATGGAACCACACTAGTGACTGGCCTCCAGCTTGATGTAACCCCATTTACAATAACCCTTTGAGCCCAAGTATTTCCCATGTACTATGTAGAATTTTCTAAGCCCCAGGCTAGATCACAAGTGATCAGCTTAAATGCCCTATGGCTGGTGCCAGTTTCCCTATTCTTAACAGTATTTCTTCATAATTCTGACATTTTTCCTTTTTTTTTTTTTTTTTTTTACTAGTTGAAACCTATATCCATATGTTGTTCTGTCCCTTGGGTTGACCAGCAAATCCAAACTCTTTGAATCTTGTCTCATTAAGCATTCCCCCTTCAACTTAAGTGGTTTGTTTGTTTGTTTGTTTTTTGGGGAGGGGGGTCTATATTCAAATAGGAAGCACACATGGCAGAAGCAAGCCAACAGAGAGGAGACATTCCCACATCCTATATGTGTGCAGCCTTTTCCTGAACAGTCCAAAGTGGTGCTCAGCTTTTCAGGTTTGCAATATCACATTGCAAACCTAAGTCTGCTTTTCCTGGAACAGGCTTTTGACTATGCCTGTTTTCCCCAGATTTTTTTTAAGCACATTCCCTTCCTCCACTTTACTCAAATGCATTAATTTGTATTACGCAGAGATGAAATTAACTCCATTATCTGTGTTTATCATCTCTATGTCCCTTTGTAGTCTTTCCTTTCCTGCCTATTACTCACAGTTACTCCCTATATAGCATCACACACAGATTCATTAACAGGCTGTTTACTCCCTCTTCAGGATCATTAAATGAAGATGCTAAATGAGACCTGACCTAACATGGACAGCTGCAATAAGCAATTCCTTGTAAAAAGAATCTTTTCCATTTATCAAAAACTTTGTCGCAATTTTCAGTCTTCTCCAAAGTGTTTACATTGATGCATTTTCTACAAGTTTCCAAATTTAGCTCATTATTTCATCCTGACAGAAGTTAGTAAAAGGGTCCCATACCACAAACCAAAGAGTTCTTCAAGACATTAAACTGCTCTCTCCATATGCTCCCTCCAAATTGATAGAAAAATCTCAAAACTTCTACAGAGTCCACAAGGGCATTAGTGATTCTCAGCTCTCTTCAGAATTGGGGAGGTTATGTGTAGGGTACCAGCCCTGGGTGATTGGAGGATGTGAATCAGTTGGAAAGAGTCCAGGAGAGGATCACAGGTTTCTAAAAATACATTGTATCTGAAGAAAAACCTGAAAGAACTTGGATCGTTTAATTTACAGAGGCAGAGAAGATGTAATATCTCTTGGGAATGGCATGGGTATAATTAAACTTGCCTTTGGACAAAAGGGTGAGCTAGATGACCTTCGGAGATCTTTTTCATTCCTATTTTCTCTGATGTTTTGATTGCATAGGTCGCCTGTCCAAATGACTCTTATAGACAGCTGCCATTACAGACAAAAACCCTGAAGTCCTAAGCTTTGTGTTTCTGCCCCAAAATGCATCCATGCTTGTCCCCTCAAATCCTCTTGTCCAGGCAGAGGATGCTCACTCCTTTCCCAACCTGCATTTCAAGGGTAAGAACTTCAGCAAGTGTCATAACAAAGGCAAGAGCTGAAATACCTGCACCCCGGGACACCTGGTTCATAGATAAAAGTCCACACCATGGGCACCAGAGAGCCCCTCTGGCTGGGATGCTCAGCTGGGACACCCACATCAAGGAAGGGAGAAACTTCTGGAAATAATGTCTGGAAGTGCAGATCTGGGTGACCCACTGAGGAGAGGGGAGCTGCTGGCAGCCCTATCTTCTGCCCAGCTCTGCCTGCGCAGCAATGAAGCAGGATGTTCCCCATGTAAAAAATGCTATCGTCAGCCATTCCTTTGGCCTTTCTAATGGAGAAAGCACCATTCTTGGCACAATTTACTGCCTGAAGTCATTCACCTCAAAGCACTTGTTTCTATCCTCTGTTTCTGCTAATATTTAGAGACAAATATTTTCCCTAATTATTATGTTTTTCCTTCACAAAGCCGTGCATCATTCTCCACTCACCCTGCTCTGCTATCACACTGGGCTCTAGTCTCCACACACCCTTCCTAGCAACACTCCTAGTACACTGAAGACCAAATATCTACCATGCTACATCTATTCTTATCTCCAAAACAGCTGCTTTTTATGTTCTCTTGGATTTATGAATTTGCACAGTCTATTTACAGATACAAATACTTTAGCTATAATAGGTCTGACATGTTTTCTTTCACAGTAATGCCCATAAACCTCAGATTAAATCTGTTGCTTAATTAATTTACACTCAGCACAAATCTCTACTTTCATTGGAGCAATGTTTCTACTCTGTTTTGTGATCCTTGTTATACTCTTTACTTCTTTCTCTGCTTCCCCAGGGATGTTCATAACTCCTTTTTCTGAGGTATAGCCTTGTCTGTGTGGGCTGCTTGCAGCTATACTGAACTTCTTGCATTTGGAAACAATTGTCACCATAGGCATTTGGGGGGATTTGGTTTTAATCAGACACTTTCAGTAACTTCATGCAACTCTTCTGTTTGATCATCCAAAGGGAGGAAATATCCATGTTTGCTTTAGAGATCTCTGCTCAAGAGCAAATTGTGTTATCCAGCCAAAGGAAGAGACGAAGCTCTTAGTGAAAAAAAGCACACAGAATCTTGTCTTTGATCACAGAGTTTCATGTAATCCTTTCCCACCTGCTCATTTACCTACATATCATGCTCTCTCCCCATCCTCCTGCTCCCTGCACCAGCCTTTCAGCTCCTCACAGCTCTCCTGCCCTTGCTCACTGGTGTCCTCATTTCCAGTTCACTTTCCTCCCCAGCAGCTCGACTCCTGGCCACTGAGATAGCCCAGTGCTTCCTCCACTTTCTTCCCCTGGGAAGGCACCAGGGGACTTGAGCTCACTGTACAAATATATCCCCTACCACATCCTGCTGGCTGCTAATGATGGCATAGCTCCCTGCCACCACCAAAAGTCAGGTGAGAGGAGTATATATATATATATATATACACATATATATATATATATATATATATACACATATATATATGCAAAAACTGTCACACAGAACAATGTCTCTTGCTGTCTTCTTTCCCACCTGCAACATGGCATTACTGTCTCTGAGAACATCAGCAAAGAAGACTGGATTTGCAATTGCACAAAGTGATTGACATATAAGAAAACAACAGCATTCTATATCTGTATCCATTACATCTCTACAAGAGTACTTAGTGCCAGTTTTGCCAGAGAGCAGGAAGGAGAGGTAGATATTTCCTTTTGCTGGTAAAAATAATCAATCAATCAAACAAACAAATAAATATTAAAACATAAAAAATAGAAAAAGAAACTATCAACAAGGTCATTGCTTCTTTTTCTACACCTAACAGTATATAAAATAATGCCTGTTCCTATTCTGACTGTCATTGGTCCCCTCTGGAGATACAAGGACTCAGCAACCCTGCCCATCCACCACAATGCTGAGGTCCAAGGAGAGCAGGAGTCAGGTCCCACAAAACCCAGGCTGGACACTGTCTGACCTAGATGCCCATGGATGTCAAAGCTGAAATTCAGCCCCTGTCAGAGCCCAGCTGCATAAGAATCACATTTGGTACCCAAAGGCAATGCTAGCACTTTGGCAGCTGAACTTAAGCCCAACCTATGTGTATGTGTGACCTATGTGTGTAAATGTGACTTATATGTAAAATTTTCTGAAGTTGTTGGCTGTTTCCTATTACAGACTGCTTGTAATCTATACACAACAATCTCTCTAAGAAGGAAAGTGTGCCATCTCTATGTATTTCTACATGGCTACAGACCTGGCTCTCCTCTCACCAGGTGCTACTGTAATGAAATGCTGGTGATCAATGGTCTGAGCAAGCAGGCAGCAAAAACAGTGAGTTAGAGAAAGGATTATTCAAACTCCATCATTCAGCATCCAGAAACCTATTTACTAGATTTCATTTTTCCACAGTAAAAATACTTCACTTTGTAAATCTCTGTAAGTTAAAGGAAATGAAACAAATAAAAGAACCAACCCCAACCTTGAATATAGTTCAGCAATATCTTAGATGAAATCAATTTGCACAGCCTTTCAGAAATGAAGAATAGGATTATAATGGATTATTTTAGTACATGCTTTTGATGTTTTGTGTAAGAGCTTTATTTTTTTTCAAGAGAGACGTTTAATGACAACTGCTGAAAATCTGTAAAATGCAGTACTTATGAGCTCCATGTGCTGCCTTGAAGTTGTGAGTGAAATTACATGCAGAGGATAAATATACAGAGCTCAGCAGAACTCTTAACAGAAGAAACAGTATTAAAGTATTTCTATTCTAACACTTTAACGCTACAAATCCCAGGCAAAAACTTACTTTAACAGGCATAAAATTTAAGTAATATCCAAACCAAAGGAGACTGTGGAGTAGAAGAAGAAAAAAAAATAATATGCTGCCATGTCACTAAAATGCCAATCACGTCCGACAGAGAAGTATTCAACCCTGAAAATCTTGTAAAATATCATTGTCACTTAAAAAATTTCATTACTTCTTTCACCTGTCCAGCAGCTTTGCCATCAACCTCCTAAGAGCATCGTTTTTGCCCATTGTGCTGAAAAATACATCTAGGTGAAGAAACGCAAATGGAAAGACAGACACAATTTTTTTTACGTTATTGGGATAACTGTCTCCTCCTCAGCAGCAATGTGCTGGCAGAAGTCTCTGAATATAGCAGTGCAACACACTGAAACCTTTCCAGGTTCACGATAACTTCTACCTGATCTTAACACTCTGGTCTCTCTAGAGAGCCTGGAACACAAATGAGTCACACACTGCATCTTCTCTTTTCCAAGGCAGCCTAAATAAAGACTTAACACAATATCCAGTTTATACAAAAGGGACAGAGCCTTTAAACACCCAGGGAGCTTCTGTTTAACATGGAAAATAACAAGAAATGCAGCACTTGCTTTCTTTGTAACTTCAGTTTGAGTGCTCTTCATTTAAAATCTCAGCATAATCACCTCTTTTTTAAAGAGAGAAAACTAGTGCCCAGTGATGACTTATGGGCACTAGAAGCTATTAAATTTGTGTAGTTGTGGCTATAGTTGTCACTACATAAATTGCATAGACCGATTAAATTATTCACATTACTAAGGCACGACAGCTAACAACACAAATACTGCTCTTCAGGTCCTAATGAGACCTCTGTTATGGATTCTAGGAAAGTACTTATTAGGTGATAAGAGTAGTTTCTTGAGTTTGGGTTCTACATAAAAACTAAACACATGAACAGAGCAAAGAAAAATGTTATTTATAATCCTAAATATCATACTATTCCCCAAAGTGACAAGATCAATATTGCAGCTTGGCACTTGCTACTGTGACAGATGGTGCTATTAAAATACGGAACACATCTTTTCTGCAGAAGAAAAAAAAAATCATAAGCGAGGACATTATATGTTGTCCTCATCCAATTTGCATTTTAGGTTACTAAAAAATGGAGGGAAAAAAAAAAAAAAGTAGAAAATGTGTGTGTTTCTCCTTCAAATATAACAAAACACTAAAAAGTACTGTTATACCCTTTTTGGAATAGGCAAGTGAGGGATGCTTGCAGCAGTCTAAAGTCTGTCAGAAAAGAGTTTTCATTATCTTCCCAACTGTATTTTGCATTAATTTCACCAGGGCTCTTTCATTTTTAATACAAGTCTGTACAAGAACAGATGAGGTTGGAAAGATTACTGACGTCTTTGTGAGCAGCTCTACTCTGTCTACTGGGAGCCTTTTGCAAAACGCATCTGAGGAAAGCTCGGGTAAGAGTCAGTTGTTTCCTGATTCCCCAGATATTTTAAATGAAGATTAGTTTAGATACTTACTAAGGGTCAGCATTCACAGAGCTCATTGTGCTGCTGAAGATCCTCCCAGCTGAAAATATCTAGGCTGAAAGCCATCTGCAAGTACTTTGGCAATTGAAATTATCTATAGACAGAAAAATGGGGGCTTTTCTGTCAATCTATTAAGATTTCCAAACTGTTTTAATTACCTCCCTTCAACCCCACCACTAGGGTTTAACTCTCCATTGTGAATTTCTGGGAGTTGCAACAATTGGCCTTGTTCTATTTGTTTGCTTTCTCATTTAGATTACAGTACTTAGAAAAAGAGGAGGCATTAGAGAATGACTCAGGAAATGTTTGTATTAATCACAGCTTTGCAGAAGAATTCCTATGTAAACCTAGACTTGACATTTCCTTTCTCACACTCTTTAAAAAACGGTAACTTTTTTGAAGCAAGTTCTGTTCATTATGTTCCATTTACATCCAAGAAATCTGGGACAGGTAGATGATTCAGGAGTATATACGTATCTATGTTTTTTCTTAATGAGAATCAGTTGGAGAAGGAAGACAATGGGAGAAAAGCAGGAATATTTGTACTGAAAACTTTTTATCTTCTGCAGGAGTCTTCTAAACAAGCCTCTGAAACAAAGCAAAGCAAGGCAAAACCAATACAAAGCTTTGAAAATTAGCATCACCAAGTAAAAGCATTCTTTCCTGCCTGCATCTGGTTTCCAGATGCAACAGCCCTCACCTTGTAGCCTTGTTCTGCTGCAGGGATTAGATCCCCCATGTGCTTATGTTGAGCTGAGCATTTTTCTTGCTGCTGGAGGTAAGCCACCCCATGGCTATGTACACCTGCACCAGAATACACACAGTAACTCCAGAGAAATTTTCTTCAAATACAGTGGTATGTGTTACCAGTCTTGTGATGTTCATTTTCTCACCCCAGGTCAAGACAGCTCTCCAAGAAGCATATAATATTTTTGGCATGACCTAAGTGCAGGGTTTATACTGACGTAGTTGTGGCGGGTAAAGATGTGGTAGGTAGGGATGGGATGTCACACTACTAAAATAAATATTTTGGTATAACACCTAGTGCAGATGCAGTTCTATCAACATAGAGGCATCCCATATATGCACTGCTTCCTACAGAGAAACAACTAAAATGTTATAAGGTATTTATTATAATGTATAGCATGTACTATTTTAAGGTATCTTTACGTTAAGAACACTGCCTCCACAGTAGGAGTGCTGCATTAGCTGTGCTCCTAAGGGTAAAATGAAACAACTTGTGTATTCAGACAAGGCCACAGTCTTGATGGTAAGTTTCAAATTGGTCACAGAAATTATACAAGCATAATTCCCATGCCAAATGCCTGTACATTGAAGGGAAGGTGAGCATCCGTACTAACTGTTAGCCTCCAGAAGGACAAACACAAGGCAACTTGACAAAATTCAGACTGCCAAATCTTGTAAGCCCCATTAATTTAATTTGCTATATATACGACATCTGCCAGCTACTATAGGTCTCTTCCCACAGTTAGTCCACTCATTCAGATGCCTACTGGATTGCATTCTCTCCTTGTGTGGCTAACTTCACCAGTGAGAAATTTTATATAAGCTTATTAAGATGTTTTGATTTACCTGAGAGGGAGAAGAAAGACAGACAGACAGAAAGACAGACAGAAACAGACAGAAAGACAGACAGAAAGAAAAGTATTTCGTTTCTTTACTATGCTACCTATCTGAGCATCCGGCAAAAGAAATTTGGAAAACAGGGGAAAGAAAACCAAAAGGTGCTTTGTAAGAATCATGTCAAATGATTAATTCTACAAGGAGAAGATGTCTTTATAGGAATCAAATAATGGTGATTTAGATGTTGACAGGTAAGGCTAAGCAAGGAGAGGCTAACAAGAAAAAATCCAAGAGATCTGATAGGAAAACTTAACCTCAGTGTTGTTATATACAATTTAGTCAATCTTGTTGTCTAAAGCTCAGAGCAAATTAGATGTCTAACTGAGATCAGAATCCGCCTTTTGTCTATAAATTCTCTTTATTGTTAAATTAAAAAAAAAAACAAAAACAAAAAAACAAAACAAAAAACAGGGATTTCAATGCCAAGAATAAACTGTAGAATGAGAATGAACAAAAATAGCAAAGGAAAAGTGAGGAAAGAATTACATAAACCTTAGTATTATACAAGCTCTGACTCTGTAATTAGAGGTGACTGTGTCAACAAGTCAGAGCAGCCACATTTTAAACAGATTAACCTTGAAGTCAGATTCTGCTAGAAGCAGCAGAAATAGTACTCTCGACATAATCCTTTCTCGTGTTTAGGTAAGTAAGAGGGAAAAAAAGCAGTCCCAGAGATGGGTGAAGAACATCAAAGCCTACCATCCAGCAGTTGGAAAGGGCCTACAAAGATCATCTAGTCCAGCTGAGCTACCTGAGCACTTCAGGGCTAACCAAAAGTCAAAACATATTAGTGAGGCTAATCAACCACCTCTCTAGGAAGTCTCTTCTAGTGTCTGACCACCTTCAGAGAAAATAAATTTTTCCTGATATCCCATCTGAGCCTCCCCTGGTGCAGCTGTGTGCAGTCTCCATGCATCCTGTCATCAATTACCAGGAGAAGAGACCAGCCCCTTCTTCCCTGTTTTCCCTGCTCAGGAAGTTGTAGAGATCAATGAGGTCACCTCTCAGCCTCCTTTTCTCTAGACTGGACAACTCAAGTGCCCTCAGCTTCTCCTCACAACTCACACCTTCCAATCCCTTTACCAGCTTTGTTGTCCTCCTCTGGATGCATTCAATATCTTGTATTTTGTTTACTGATTCTCCAGCCCTCCAGGGACTTTAGAAAGGTATTCTTTACCTACTGTCATGCTGATCCAAGATACTCTTTGTTATTCTCTTAAATTTTCCTTTCAGAAAGTTTCTGAATAACAAGAAAACTCACAGTAAATAAATTTAAATCTTTTTCTGTCCCCATACAACCCTTAAAATAAATAAATTAATATTTATTTCTGTGTGCAGTGGGAAAGCTCACAAAATCAAATGTGCAAAGCTACCATACTGCTCCTCTCCTTTCCCCAACCATCAGAATGTATGAGATCAGGACAGAAAAAACATTCAGGCAAAACAAAGTGAATAAAGAAATCACTCACATGTATGCATACCTGTAATTTCCAGTTCTACTGCAAAGCTACTGCTGAAGCAGGGCTGGTGGAGAGGTGAGGACGAATTAACCAGAACTACAAAGGTGAGCAATAACCCAGGTCCTGGTGCATCGGTAGCAGGAAGCCCAGAGGAAAGTTAGTTAACAGTACTACCGTGGTGCAAGAGGAGCAATCAAAGAGAATGAGAAGCTAAATGGCTCACTCAGAGAGCAGAGTAGCTAAACAGATTTCTTTTCATTTTTCTTTCCCTTCAGAAGTTGAAGGGGAAATATCCATCCCAAGGTGACACTTTACAGACAATGAAGCCAAGGCGCTCGCAGAGGAGGGTGAACAGAGAAGAGATGTGAAAGAACAGTTCAATATATTAAAATGCAATAAATCACTCAGGCTGGTTGGTATCACTCCAAAAATGTAGAAGAAATGAAGGTGAGAGACCTATGTAACTGTATACTTTAGTATTAAAGCATTTGAATCACAGCTTTGGAGTGGCAGGGCATGGCAAAAGCAAGGTCTGTTTATTAAAAAGGATGCTGTAGGGTGAGAGAGGGATGAATTACATGTTATACAGTCTTGTCCCAACAACAGGGAAGGACAGAGAGAGGACACTGAATGAGAGAAAAGGATAGTAAAAAGCAATTCAGTCCTTATTACAAGGGAGAAGTAGATACGGCCAAACCCACAAACCACTGTAGTATTTTCCAGAGCAACTGAGCCAAATAAGATGAGAAGGGGAAGCTGGGGTCAAGCCACTAAGCATGTTACTCTGTCTCTGAACAGACGTAACAAAAAAGCTGAAGAAGCAATGGCGGGCTTCCAAAAAGCCCTTCCAAGCACACTCTCCTCAAGATGATATTTGGGTAATAACCCAGGGGTGGAGGAGGATTAGGCTTCTGTCACAGCCTAGAATAGAAACCACAATGTTAGATGGGGATTTTTTCTTGGCATGCTGCAGGATGATGGAAATGAGCCCCAAGAAGAGGGGTGCTGGGTGTAGGACTCACCTGGCTGGAGATATCAACACCTGAGCTCCCTGAGAGACCGATGCCTTTCTGCTGACCAGCTATCTGCCAAAACAGTCAGTGGGAAGCCTGGGGGAACCCAGGTCAGCAATCACACCACTGAAGTGCCATTTTCTCCTCTAGGACTACAAAGAGAGCTTGGAGTGACTAGCTCAAATTTACACACAGACGGGAATTTTGCTGGCATTTATACTTCAGAGAGGGAAATCCCACACAGACTGACACAATTGCTTTTAAGGCACTTATTTGTTTTTCCTCTACAACTATGTATTGAACCCATTCAGACAATGCTGACCTTGCAGACCAGATTGGCAGCACACCAGGGTCCAGCCTGCAGCTGGCTGGCTGCTCCCTAGTATTGAGGGATGTCAAGTGATGATTATGGACCAGTTCTGTAAAGGCACCCCATGCCCAAGATGAGAACAAAATGTTACCAAGCTCATCAGTGCAGGATCAGCTAATTGCAGAAGTTTACCCTCCTCCCCCCAGCCCCTTACGGAAGAGCAGCAAGCAGGCTTTGCAGGGAAGAAGGACCAAAAATGCCAGACCACTGAAGTGCTTTCCTAGAGAGCTATAATCCTCTCAGCCAGGGATATGAAACTCTAGGGGAGGAAGGTGGGGAAGCAGAACCTTCTAACCTACATTTCTCTCCAGTCAGAAATTAAAATTCAGCTGCTGTTTCCCCACAGAAGGCAGTACTGTGAGCACGGCTGGCTTTTCACTCCACAGCTGAATCCTGCTGAGGCTCCCATGCAGGGGGAAGGGATTGGTTTCTCTTGCAGAGAACAGCCTCACTCATGAATTATCAAGCTTCCAAGCAAATTGATCAACACCCTACAAGCATGTTATTTATTTAAAGTAAATATATATATATAAATAAAAAAAAAAAAGAAAGAAAAAAGAAAAAAAGAGGATTTTACTTGATTTATTCTTGCTTTCCTCTGAATTTTTTTTTTTTTTTTTGACACTGTTTTCTTAGATAGACAACACAACACAATAGATGATACAACACAATAGATGATACAGCGACCTCATGGTATGTAATGAGGCTATTTTAGTTGACAGAGGAAACCCCAGGGACATGTTCAACCTGCAGAATCCAAGCCATGTGCTACACTGTCAAGCCCCAAAGCAGAGAGCACAATCACAGCAACTATCTCATATCTTGTTGGATTTTCATAGATATCTAAATTTATCAGTCTCTTCCTCCTCAACTCTCCTTCTCCACATTTGGGATTCAGCCAAACCAAGAATGCAATGAGAATTTGAGAGACAATCACCTCCCATAGCATCTCTCCTAAATTTCTAAGCAAACAATACTTGCACTCATTTGGGTGCTTCCTGACAAATTTATCAGATCAGCTAAATAGCTTGAAGGGGTCAAGCCAAAACTCAGATTAATTTAAATGGTAATCCAAGTCCTATATAACTTCAGGAGTCAAATTCACCACCTGCTGTGCTGCTTTCAGAAATCTCAGTCCCTCCATTTTGGAACCCTAGATTAGGTCACTGAGATCAAGAGCTCAGCTGGGAATCCAGGATATGCAACATGAATACTGCAATGGAGCAAAAGCATCCCTCATCCTCTCTGTGTTCTTAGTCTTCCACTTACAGTCCCCAAAAACCCTTTGCTGAGCAAATCCCAGAGGATGCAGGAACCATCTTCCAGATCCCACTTCAGTATCTTGTGTGCCTGGAGGCACCCTCATAACCTGCTGGCAGCTGTCCTGCACTCAGGGAACAGTCATCCTGGCACAGCAGGGACAGATCGGGACAGACCTACACAGTCCCCTACACAGGTGTAGAAGTTACAGTATTTAGCACAAGCTCAATTATACCACAGCAGGCTGTGACTGAGGAGGCTTAGATGATAACTTCCCTATTCAGTGCAGCTGAGAGTGCTCCCTCTGCTAATGCAGGAGACTGCTACTGCTGGACTTCCTTTGTGCCTGGGGAAATTCTCTGGTTGTCCCACATGCACTTATTATGGGCCCCATTTGCAGTTCTCAAGTTTTGGGAATTTGTGTGTAGGCACTTAGGATCGAGGGAGTGGGTGTTTCAGAGAACTGTTGACACCTCTAATCTGCAATCAAGTCTGAACTGGCAGAAGTCTGTTTACAAAACCTCTTCCTAACCAAATATTTATCACACAAACATATACACAAAACCAGAAATTTTAAAAACCTACAATTGCTTGACATTTAGAGCCAAACTCAGTTCTCAGTTCTACCAGTGCCAGTGGGGGTTTAGTCATACTAAGTATTGAATAAGGTGAGTGTATTTATAGGCAAGCCTATACAATTATGATATGGTTATGTCATTTTTTTTTTTTTCTTAAATTTTCTATGCAGTTCCTAGGCATATCTTTTTGTACATTGAAAAGATTGCAGTACTACAATATTTGGTCTTTCTTTATAATTCTTGTAAAGATACCAAAGCAATCTAAAACAAGTACATCTCATAACACCACTGCTCTGTTTAATTATTTCCATTTTAGTCACTGGAGAAGCTAATAAGTGACATGCCTAGGATGAGGTAACAACAGAACCTGGAATAAAAATTTGGAGCTTTGGTTCTGAACACTAACTAAACTAACTAACTAAATATAACGGCTTCTGTACAGTTTCAACATTTTTTTTTTTTTTTCATGCAGACAGGAGGGAAAAATAAGCACAGAACATAAGGAATTGTATTTTCTAATTAGTTCTCTTCTGCCCATCCAGAGAAAGAAGACTCCAGTGGATAAGCTTACAGTACCCAGATTCATTCTTGGTTTTGTATAATTAGTCCAAGAGAGCCGCGGCCTCTGTGGCTCAGTTTCTTTCCCAAACTATAAAGTTAATGGTACTGCCTTGTTCAGCATATGTATTGTTGAATTAACCCATTGCTATAGCTGGTATATTGCTGAAGATTATTAAGTACTGTTGAACAACTACATGTCAGAACCAAGCTAAAATTAGTCTTTGCTTTACTTGAAGTTATCTTGATTTATCAGAAACTATTTCTTGAAGTTTTCCCTCTGCAGAGCTCTTTCCTCAGCTCTGCAGCTCTGCACTTATGCTTAAGTGAAATGATTGTATCCCACCAGCTCTTTTGAGCAGGATAATTGGCAATTACTTATTTTTGACATATGCAGGAAATCTAGTAAAGCATAATTCAAATTCTGTTACCAGTGATGAACTCTTTTTGCAGAACACTGCCTTACAGTGCTCGTCTCCACTGCCAATATCCCTGGCAGTTTTAATTCAAATCTCAGAAGTATTATGTGCAGCACATTGTTTCTTATCTCTAAGTTCTGTGCTACAGAAATTCTTTTGTTGTGTAACCTTGAATTCTTTTCCTACATTTTTTGAAACTCTTGCTACACTTCACTGGTTAAAGAAAAAAACAGAAATGATTTTATCTAGTGCCTCTTTAGTTCCATGGTTGAAACTTGCTGTATAAAGTGTATTAATTATCTCCTGCTCTTGTTATAAACAAATATATCTAGCCATGCAAATTGCCAAACAGCAGCTAATCTTACTAAGACAATTTTTAATGAGAGTATGAACAAAACTGCCCACAGATATGCCTGGTGGAGCTCTACCTAGAAACCAGAGTAATAGGCTCATTACAAAAAGATTACACATTAGATATGCTGTTCCCTCAGTGGGCAAAATATGTGAGTGCAGATTAGCTGTGCGCATTTAGAAAAAATAATTTTGCCACTGGCAAATTATACTTTGGGCCATTGGATGTAATGGATATGCAGCACATTATTGTATCTGAGCTATATCCAAGCCTTGATGGATTATCCTAAGTATTAAACCATGCAGTAGCTGAATAAAACCCATTAGAGAATGTTTCACTTCTGTAAAACTGAAGTTGGTTTGAAGACTGTGTTAACCCTGGATGAAAAGTTAAAATTAAGCCTATCTCTGGTTAGTAGAATTGTTCTTAGTTGCTGCTCTGTGAAATAATAAAGTAGCGGTAGTAATAATAATAATAATAATAATAATAATAATAATAATTTGAAAAGAAAATAATGGGAGCTACATTGAACGGCTTTGTATGTCTCTAATATTTCTACAAGTTCCAGCTTTAAAAGAAAGATGCATGGAAATCCAAATAACATTTCCAGGGAAAGTTTATTACATAAATTCAGAAAACTCTTCCACCTAATTTCAGCTTATCATGAGTAAGACAAAATAGAGAAGTCTTTGTCCTCGGTGTGATGTGTACAGAGAAATTCCCACTTAGAAATATTCGCAAAACTTTTAGACGTACATGCAGCACAAAATTAGGTATAATTTATTTCAAAATAGAGTACTACTTTTCTGACATAACTGCTTATTGAGAATTTCTGTACAATTTAATTATGTGCTGTGTGATGTTATTGATCCGGTAGTTAAAACACCTTCTTAAAAAATTCACTCAGTTGTAAGCTATTGGATTTCGTCATGATGTCATTCTTAAAGCTTACCATTATCAGTGCAATAAAAAAAAAAAAGCCATTCCTAATTAGATCTTTTTAATGTGATATTGTTCGTTAGGAATTGATTTTCTCTTTTCCCTGCTATATCTAAATGAGTTAGGTGAAGTTTCATTTTTGTGCAAGCAGAGGTTAATTTTCACTGGCAAAGAAGCAGAGATATTGTACAAAAGGTTTACAAAAACCTCCTTAGGCAGCTTCATCAGATCATCACAGTGTTAAATTTCAGTACCATTAACATTCACGCCTCAAGTTTCAGCTCTAATAGATATTGAAAGATTTGCAATATTACACAAACCTGTGCAGAATCTGAAACCTTTTTTTTTTTTTTAAACGAACACAGATTGCACTACAGCAAAGTACTGCTCAGTAGTGGAGCTGTTGCAATCAGATGAGTAAAAAAAAATAATGGATGATGGCTACTACTGATTTACAATAGGGATTTTAGTTCTCGTAAGGTGTGGTAAAAAAAAAGGACCTTTGACTGTGGAACCTCTGCAAGGTATGTTGGGAATGCAGTGTCAGCAACCTGTTTCTGCATATTTACCACCCTCTTGGTCATTCACAGTTCAAACTAGAAATGGTGAAACATCAGGAGAGACTCTTCTTGGTCTTCATTTTCAAATAACAGTTTTCTAAATTGCTCATGCACAGCAAGTGCCAGCTGCTCAGCTCCCACTGATGTGGGGTACGAATGAAACATTTGTATGCTCTTGGGAGCCTTTTTCAATTAGAATCATCTAGGTTGGAAAAAACCTTCTGAATCATCAAGTCCAACCATCAACCTGACCTACCGAGTCCTATCAGTAAACCTTGTCCCTCACTACCACATCCACAAATCTCTTAAATACCTCCAGGGGTGGTGACACCACTTCCCTGGGCAGCCCCTTCCCATGCCTGAGCACCCTCTCCATGAAGAAATTCTTCCCAATGTCCAACCTAAACGTAGCCCAGTGGGCTTGAGACCATTTCCTCCCATGCTGTCATTTGTTACCTGAGTCCTATTGCTTGTCACCCAAGAAATGAGACCAACATGCACTTTGCTGCAACCTCCTTCCAGGTAGTTGTAGAGAGCAACAAGGTCCTCAGCCTCCTCTTCTCTCAAACAAACCATACCAGTTCCTTCAGCTGCTCCTCATAGCTCTTGTTCTCCAGTCCCTT